TTTTTCGAATGAATAGATAGATATAGATAGATAGATAGATAGATAGATAGATAGATAGATCGATAGATAGATAGATAGATAAAACGGTAGACTGGTTGTTGGTTGACAATCAGGTTGACTGATTTATTATTTTATTAATTGACTTACTGACAGATAAGTAGAAGACAAGAAACCAAAACTAATATATTTTGAAACTGCTTCCGTCTTAAAAAATATATGCTAAGAAAAAATGATTACTTCTTACGCATGGACGATGTCATACGTTTCGCATTGTTCTGTTGTAGTCTTGCATCGAACACTTTATGCCCTGTGTCTCACATCTCTTCACGATTCACTAAAACTTTTTTGCTGCTATTTAATTTATATTTTCAATCCAAAGTGCAAAATTTGACTTCCTAAGAAAATAATTTTGCTTGAAAAAGCATAATTTTTCCTACATTTTAAATTTACATTTCAATCATTTACAAATCCCTAAGGTACAAAAAAAATGGTGGAAATATCACATAAGTCTATGTAAATTTTTTTAATGCTGAATAATAATTTGAGCAAACAAATCTGACTTAACATATATGAGTTTTTATTCGGATCTGAATTATAAACAGTTTTGATACTTTTGTTAAAATGAAGATTTAACTTTAGTTTTCAGCGAAGGTGGCTTAGTGGCTTAGTGACTAATTCATTAATAGCACTTATCTTGTAGAATTTGTAATCAAATTTTGTGAAAAAAATAATGAAAAATCGAAACATTGATTCATTTTAGACTTCTCAAAAACAAAAAATTTTGGTATTTGATTTTAATTTCAAAAGTAATTATTACTGTTTATGAATTTAAACATTTAAATGATTTTAAAGAATACGCTAAGGATTATCATGTAAATATCCAACTAACCTTCCATGTATTTTTTGACTTAACATTGGTTTGTGCCAAAAACGCCATATCGTAAAAGACTTGTCGGCGCAAAACTTGTTGAAAAGTATCGATAGATCATATATCTTGAAAAATGTGCACAAATTTATCGATAATGATAAGTCAAAGAAATCAATCAAGTAGATAGAAAATATTAAGTCATTGAGTAAGAAAAACTATTGAGCTTTCTTTTATTTCGTTTTTTTATTTTTATTTAGTAGATACTACTAAATTTCTCCCACTTTGTTTTTCTAACTTTCACAACATTTTTTGTTAACTAAAGAAAGACATCAAGCCGATAAAGGGAGTGAAAAAGTGAGGGTCAACTGAGCATTTGTGATTTATGACTTTTTGAGAATCGAAGCGAAGCTATTTTTTCAGGGATTGGGCTGCGATGCAAGTCTGTAAGTCAGAAGAAAAAATATAAATCAAAAGAATTGAGTGCTAGCAATTTAATTACTTGGGTATGCGTGTGATGATAAGGTTTTTCACTTATGCAGTTCTTGATGAGTTGCTATTAAGTTTTATGTAATGCATTTATTTACAATTATTTTAGTATTTCTTGATGGTAAGTTACGGTCATTTGAGTGCATTTGCTACGAACTCAGTTCTGACCACGTGAGTGTTCCTTGTACTTTTTTTTCTGTGATATGAATTGTTTTCTGTGTGTTTGTAATGATTTGAGGTTGTAATTATTTGCTAATATTAATCTATTTTACATCTGATATGTGCAGCAATTATAGTTGTGAAAGCCAGTATTGTTTTGCGGACTGTTAGTTGTGAATAAAGTCAAAATTGGCGATGTTGGACCGATTAAGTGCAAAGTGATCAACACATTCTTGCACAAAGGAGAGGCTTGGTAGGTCATCCAGTGCTGACAGTCAGTTATTACTTATAGGCTGACTATATAGTAGAATAGGGAT